GTGACCCAAAATGGAATAAGCGGGTAAAGATAATGGATGGATGGATGAATTTTGTACCTGGATGATTGAGCATGAATTTTGATGTCTTGAACCACTTTGGCTGTGGCTGCCTGCCTGGGAGGAGTTGACGGGGGACAGGACAGCCCCCAGAAACCATCTTATCACCAGCAAACTGGTTGGTTCACTAAAGGAGTGTTCTGCTTAGTGGGGAAACAGTTTACTTGGGACTCCTCAGACTGATGAAGCCCTCTGGATAGAGGGTTAAACATCTTTCCACAAAAAAGAAACTGTCCAGATGACCTGACTGACCATTATTGGATTTTGTACCTGGATGATTGAGCATGAATTTTGAAATCCTATAATAAGAAAGACTGGTAAAATATTAAACCTCATGAGTTCATTTAGGCAACAGCCAAGCCAAAACTGGACTTATATTCTGTTGGAATAATCTTTATTGAAAGTTATTTAAATCAAAATGTGACCAGAGTATTTCTGTCTTGTGTTCACAAGTTTTATAAAAGCATGATTTTGGAGTTGATGATGACGGTTATTTTTTTTATAACTTATGTGTCCTTGATGATCAGGATTAATAAATAACAATGCTAAACAAAATGCTATAGAAGGAAATTTGATTGATCAATTTAAGGCACAAACATTGTTTGTTTGGTTTGTTGGATTTAAAACTGTGGTGAAATTTCTAAATCGTTATTTTTAATATGCAGAACAAGATGTATGTGTGCATTATTGTTCAACAGATAACATGTTTAACAAACCAAGACGACGATCTCTGAGACAAAAACATCCAATTGAGTGATTTATAGTATAAGTGTTTTTCTTTCACAGCATTTTTTAAGGAGAACATAAGAGAACCTAAATTCTACAAACTTCATGATGTGCGGTTGACAAATACGATGTACTCATTTTCCTGCGTTTTCCCTTTTTCAGAAGCAGTAACTGCTGGCTCAACAAAAGTAAAAACTGTGTTAATGTGCCCCAGAGTTCAGCTTTACGTTGAGCAATAAGATCACATCCTCCGCAAGCAGAAATGGTGGATGTAAAAAAGGGAACCGAATCCTGG